AGGCTTGGAATATTTTAAGTTTTTGAAACTTCAAATGGACGCGTCATCTCACCTTGAATTCGAAACCCCACAAATTATATTAGCGTTGGTTTTAAAAAGTCGAATGTGTGAGACAAGATTAACCAATAAAAATCAAACAAAACAAAAGGAAAAATACCAGAATGTATTTCTTCTTTTTCTCTATATCTCATTCTCTCATGAAGCTTTAATAAAAGTGAAACATGGTAGATTGATAAACGTTTTCTATTTGTACTTTTACTATCAATCTCTCCTATTCCGATCCATAGTTGAATGTTGGGATGTAAGAATGATTGTTTTGGCGAGTAAATATAACGCATTAACAATTTCATGAATATAATAATGATTTTTCAAGAAACCAGTCTCACTGGAGGCAGAAGCGATATTAGAAACAAATTCGACTTGAATTCGAACTCGACTCTCCTCACATCCTATGTAAATTTCAAAACAACGCCTAAAATGCAAAAATTAATGACAGGTAGTGCCATTCAAAACTAACTGGCAGATAAATAAGTTGCAGATCGTAGACGGTTCTGTTGCAGATTTTTAAAAGATTTTGAACTTCTGAAATATTCTTCCATTTTTTTTTCTTTCGTTTCATCCTCCTAACCAATAATGATTCCTGCATGTATTAATCGATATCATTTCTATTCAGGTTCCTGCATATTTTTCAGTGTTTGATAATCGATGCCTTTCTTGTTGTTTCTTGGAAGTGCTTTCCATTTTTAAATTTCCATGGTCGTATCTCCTCTCCGACACTCAGCTCAGAGACATGGCACTTTCCACAGCAAATAAGCTGTTCCAATCACGCAGCTGTTCCAGTAACACACCCAATGCAGCCGAATACCACTAAGATATCTGGTGACGCAGGGTACTTTAGATGCTGCTTGGTACAATTCTTTAATTTGTCATTTCAAGCCCGGGTACCCTATCATATTCACCTACTCACCCTAACAAATGTGCTTACTCCAAAGTAGCGTAACGTTTACTGAGAATTTTCCAATTCATGATTGTACGCATATGTGATTTCAGGGCGATTGCTCTCCAATCGCTTGTCAGTCACAATGATTGTATCCCAAGTGAGTTTCAATGCTTATTCTCGGCTACTAATGATGGCGAATGCTCGTACCCTTCTCTACAAACTTTTGGCTATAATTCCTGCACAATTCTTAATGTGTCCTGAAGACGATATAGTCATGGCGACTTCTGTACACTTTTTGTGACATTTGATTGCAGTGTCTAACAATGTGTTTTACACATTCCCAGTATGCGCAAAAAGTAATCGACTTATGGTCATATCTCGTTGAAACATCGGTTTCCGTAGGATCACCGAAGTTAAGCAACGTCGAGCCTGGTCAGTCAGTTTGCATATACGTGTTGTGAAATAGATAATGGCTCGGAGGACACCTCGAGACGGTGTAATGGTTAGCAAGCTTGGCTCGCTAGAACAATTACGACTGAGTAGTGAGTTCGATCCTCACTGGGTGCCCCCTAATTTCGGCATTGTGCCACATCTAAGCTACGCTTGGGAAATCCCTAGATAATGGCTCGGAATTGTTAATCGGAGAGCTGTGTTGCAATCACACACTTTTTTTATATACATAAAGCTCTTCGTAATGTGTGAGCTGAACATGTGAGTGCAATTTTATTGTATGTCTTTAAGGCATGAGGTACCAAGTATCTCTTCAGTAAACTCATCGGAAACTTTTTCACTATCTGAGGGCTCCAACTACAACAAGAATAATTGATGTCATCATGTGTCACATGTTTGAGATTTCCACTTGATGGTCCTTTTATGTTTTTTAAGATCTTGAAAGATACATTAAAATCTGCAGGAGTTACCATGTCAATAAGAAAGCACATTCTGCTCTGATAGTGTTTGATCACGATGTCAGGGCGATTAGCTTTGATTGTTCTGGCTATGTGTATTGTGAAGTCCCATAGAATAGTTACAGCTCCTGTTTCTGTAATCGGGTTTGGGTGATGTTCATAACAGTTCTTTGTATTTTGTTCTCATAAAAGTTTCATATTTCCCAATGTAGATATTGACCCATTCTATCATGCCGAATGACATATTCAGTGGGTGCTAACACCATTAACAACCTGAACAAAATGATTAATTGTTTCTAGTTTGGTTTGGTTTATTTTGTTTTACGGAATATCAACCTCAATGGGTTATTTAATGCCGACAATACTTTTAGGATAAATTCGTATGAATAGAATATGTATTCTTTGGTTCAGATTGGTTTGGTTTATTTTGTTTTACGGCATATCAACCTCAATGGGTTATTTAATGCCGAAAACATTTTTAGGATAGATTCGTATGAATAGAGTATGTATTCTTTGATTTAGATTGGTTTGGTTTATTTTGTTTTACGGCATATCAACCTCAATGGGTTATTTAATGCCGACAATACTTTTAGGATAAATTCGTATGAATAGAATATGTATTCTTTGGTTTAGATTGGTTTGGTTTATTTTGTTTTACGGCATATCAACCTCAATGGGTTATTTAATGTCGACAACATTTTTTATTGCTGGTAATATTTTGTTTTGTCAAAAATCTGTTTTTGGTAATATTTTTCCTTCAAAATTGTATTGCTGGTAATAATTTTTTTCAAAAAATGTATTGCTAGTAATAGTTAACTTTTTGCCCATAGCTGGGGCCCTAACAGGTGCTACCACCCTGATTCAGGGTGGACCTGGGAATATCAGAAATTAAGAGGTAGTTTCACGCTCCTCAAATCCTCCTGATCAGAGGCATTGCTGCTGGATGTAGTTTATCGTCTTACCCAGGACGTAATTGTTTCTGGATATTTATTACACAATCTGCATTTCGGTTTAAATCAATTTTCATTTTGTGTGCTTGGTAAGTTCTTGTTAACAAGCATTGATTATATGCAGCAAGAATAAAACCTTCGCTTTCAGCTTTTAACTCAACTCTACGTAGCCAGTTATGGGTACGACGTTTATTTACATCAGCTTTTATGGTACGGGCAGAATATTGGCCATGAAGAGGTTTATCTTACTGTTATGGTCCGGTTCCTTGTACCACGGTGATAGTTCAAGGTAGAACCAATAAAGAAGAACGCGAACACAGGTATGGAATAACACAGATATATTACAAACAGGAATATATACAGAGAAGTAGAAGTGTTAGTATGAACAATCAGGTTTAGTAGAGAGAACAATGTAGTCTCGACCAGTATCACTATTCCAATGTCTTTCAGTAATTGTCTGAACGCGACTCTGTTTCAGACTGCCTCTGACTCGACTCTTGACTCGACTTGAACTACTGACTCAACTTGAACTACTGACTCACGATATTGAGTCATCCCCCCCACGAGGGTGTCATGTGGCACAAGGCCTTTTTAACGTGGGCATTTCCGAGCTATTTGGCTCGGCCAAAAAATAGCCATTGAACCCGTATAAACGGGTTCAGGGCCGGTTTTACCTCTCCGAAAGAGACTCCGCCCTTCGGCGTAGCCTCCTTCGGGTTCCTCCCGCCCGTAGGAAGAGAGTTCAAACCGAGCAGTCGGTTCAAAAGTGAACGACTGACTCACGATATTGAGTCACCCCCCACGAGGGTGTCATGTGGCACAAGGCCTTTTTAACGTGGGCATTCCGAGCCATTAGGCTCGGCCAAAAAATAGCCCATTTGAACCCGTGTAAACGGGTTCAGGGCCGGTTTTACCTCCCCGAAGGAGACTCCGCCCTTCGGCGTAGCCTCCTTCGGGTTCCTCCCGCCCGTAGGAAGAGAGTTCAAACCGAGCAGTCTGTTCAAAAGTGAACGACTGACTCACTCCTTGCCTACTCCTGAGGCGCGGTATTTGTTAAGTATGGAATAGTCCATTATTATTATTATGGGTAAGATCCCATAACACTTACCATTGTTTCTGCATTTGGTACATTGCATTTTCTTTCTTTTTTAAGTTATTTGCCGCAGTGGTAGGTGTATTATAGATTATTTGCACATCTTTACTTATTTGAAATTCCGTTTTGAATTTGTTGACTTCCTTTATTAATGAATAAATTTCTTATTTCTTTCATGTTCTGTGACAGTCTTCTGCAGTTTAAGGGTATCTTTGAAAACCGATTATTGTGGTTTTTGGAAAACAGTTCTAGTTGAACTAATCCTCTGCCTCTTTCGGATCTGGACACACAGACGATCAACATCAGCCTTAGGATGATATATGAAGTGGCAAGTTCTCACTTGCTTCTCTCGTTTTGACATTCATTCACATAATGTCAGCTATGTTCCAGTTAAAGATGTTGAAAATGCATTAAACGACAGGGGCAGCCAAAATTTTTATGGCCGATATTCTGTTTTGTGAATTCAACTCGGTATTTAACACTAGACCCAACCGCCTATTGTATTCTTTTCATATTTCCTCCTTCATTTGGGGATGGTGTATTCCGTCACTTTCACTGACTCCTGACTCCTATCATCAAGGATACTTCATACATTTCCAAAGACATAACGATCCAAGAGTGTGGCACATTATCAAAGGCTTCACTGTAATTTATCCAAGAAGTGCTGAGATTTCAAATTTTTTCCTGCAATTTTCCTAGATGTATTCCTTATTTTTTAGTCGTATATCTTAGCAACTATTTATTAGTATTTGGTGTTTGACATCCATTCTGTTTCAGTGGAGGAATATCGAGGAACGAGTTTGTACAGCTTGTCAAGACAGGCGTAATCAATTTATATGTTGTGGGTAGGCATGTTATTGGCCTATAATCTTTTAAATCATCTGTTTCACCCGTTTTGGCAGGCAATATATAATATCTTCCGTAATCCATTTTGGAATTTCTTTGGGGTTATTAACACTGATAATTTTTGCAGAAGAATTTATTGAATTGATGACAGATGATAGAGCCAAAATTTGGATACCTCGTCATTTCCCGAGGATTCTCATTTTTAGGATTTTGTTATAACTTACCTAACATTATTCTTGGTTATATTTTTCGTTTTTGCACAGGTTGGTCTTTTATTCTTTCTTGTTTTCATTTGATCCATTCTGCAAATATTCTCCCCAAATATATTTGCACTTCTTTATTCCACGGCTTCCATTTTTTTTTTCATCGTTGATTTTTCTCCTCCTTCTTCTTCTTCTTCTTCTTCTTCTTCTTCTTTATTCCACGGCTTCCATTTTTTATATTCATCGTTGTCTTCTTTTCTCCTCATTCTCCTCCTCCTCCTTTTCTTCTTCTTCTTCTTCTTTATTCCACGGCTTCCATTTTTTATATTCATCGTTGTTTTCTTTTCTCATCATCATTCTTCTTCTTCTTCTTCTTCTTCTTCTTCTTCTTCTTCTTCTTCTTCTAAGTTTGATACAATCGTTTACAAAGATGTTTGCTTGAAGACCCCCCTAAAAAATTGAAAGCGCTTTTCTGCACAGATGAACATTACACATTAACACGAGCTTTTATATTTCAGATAAAGACAGATTTCCTGGGATTTTCTTAATATATGCATCAGTATCATTTCTAGTGTTCTCATAAATACTGGAAAATTCTTGTAACTTGTAATTTCAGATCCTTGGGGATATTATCAAGTTCTGTAGCTGAAATACCTTTTGTAAAACGAGGAATTCTGGAGATGCCAGCTACATATAGGAGAGGGTCAATATCAAACAAGTAAGGGAATTCAACTATCGAGGAAGTGTGTTAACTGTTGTGAGACCGTAACATACCTACAACATGAACTCTTCCAGGACTATATAAAGTATGCGATATAACACTCTCGGAGAAGATGAGAGAGAGAGAGAGAGAGAGAGAGAGAGAGTATTCTTATACCATAGTATCAGCCGCGTACGACTACCAATATTGGGCACTAGCACATAGTAAGCTCCGCTTACACTTACACTATCTTTGTAACCTTTTTGTTTAATATATCTTTAATCCGTGTTCCGTGTTTTCCTTCCGTGGTCCCAACTTTGGGCCCACATCATTAACATAAGACAGAAATGTGACACCGAGAATCGAAGTCGTATATCAAAAGATGTCTTACGAATCCTAAACAAAGTGTAAAAAACAGAAAAAAAAACAATTAAAAAACACAGAAAAGTGTGTTAAAATGATATGACAAACCAAACACAATATATGGCAGTGAATATTGGACGATTTCCTCTTAGATGAAGAAGAGACTTAAGGCAAAAGAGATCTTGATCTACGGAAGGATGCTGAGAATACCACGAAGGTAGTATATGAACAAAGAGGAAAATATGAAGAAAAATGGAAACAGGTAGGACACTTAAACTTAAAAGCAGGAAGAGTTAGAATTTTTTAACAAATAATGAGGAAAGAGGATTTTGAGAATTTGACCCCCACACAACACAGTGAAAGCAGCAAAAACTGAGGGAAACAGTGACTTAGAATTATAATGAGCAGACAAATATTGCGTAGTTCTTTAAAGGACAGGATGTTGTGGAGAGCCATGATCACCCACGTCTTAAATGGTCAAAAGGAAACGGTGAGTAACCTACCTAAAAAGCTTGTGTAAATGGATAGCAGAACATAGACTGGGAAGAATATTCAGCGGACAAAAATTGCTTAGTGATATAAAAGACAGGATGTTGTGGAGAGCCATGATTGGCCACGTTCTGAAGGGTTTAAACGGAACAGTGAGTAATCTACCTGATAAGATTGTGTAGAATGGGTGTTTAAGTGATAGAGAGATGAAATTTGCTTTAGTTTGATTTGTTTTGCTTTACGGCATATCAGCCTCAAAAGGGTTATTTAATGCTGACAAGATTTTTATTGCTGGTAATATTTTTAAATTTTCATTAAGACTTAAGATAAAACCTTTTCGGGCTGAAAGAAAGTTGTCTGTTGGCGTGATAATGCCTGTGTGCCAAAAAAAATGGGTGTTTTAATGAGGGGGAGATGAGATTTGCTTTGGTTTGGTTTGTTTTACGGCATATCAACCTCAATGGGTTATTTAATGACGACAAAATTGTTATGGCTGATCATGTTTTTTACCAAAAATACAATGTCGGTAATAGTCACTTTTTCAAAAAATGTATTGCTGGTAATATTTTCTTTTACAAAAATGTACTGCTGGTAAAACATTTTCCAAAAAAGTATCAGATTAAGAAGTGGAAGGAGAATCAAAAAAGGAAAAAAAAAATGCTAAGAGCTGGAAATGATAAGATGTTGAGTAGAACCATGATCAGCCACTTCCTGTAGGAAGATAATGTTTATATGATAGCGTTTATGGTAACTGAATACTTGTCTATTCGTTTGTATAGTATGGCCGGTATGTATGGTGAAGACCTTCCAAATCTGTTGGCGGTCTGTTTTCATACCATGGTCTGTGGAGTGTAATTTATAATGCTATATACGATGACAATTGGAAAAGGAATAGCAATACAACAGCTTTGTTTTGACTGATGAAGAAAAAATTCATATTACAATCTTTGACATAGTCCCCACAACCCCAGAACGGTAATACACTTTGGTATCATTCAAAGTCTTTCTTCATTTTTTTCGAAAATAATTTATTTTAAGACATTTTTATGTTTATACGTTCTTTTTATAGATACAAATATTTAAGGAAATGCTCGGTTTATAATAAACTGAACAGAATTAGGCCAACTTTGTATTTTGCTCTCTAGTTTTATGAGAAGCCCACGATAGATGCCTGAAAGAACACATGATGCAATGACACACATTAGGAAATAGACAATGTCCGACAATTATTTTTTAAGACATTTTTATGTTTATATGTTCTTTTTATACGTACAAATATTTAAGTAAATGCTCTGTTTATAATAAACAGTATTAATGACATTTACCGGCCTGAATGTCCGAGAAATTTTCATCGAAAATATGCGTCCTCCGACAGGAATCGAATTTGTATCCTATATGGGAACGTCATAGAGACTGACGTGCCTTTACCGATTGGGCCACAGAGGAGTGTTAAGTTAGTAAGGAAGATTTTTAAACACAATTCTCCATGATTTTCTCTCATACATTCATATCTGCTCAATGCGTAGTCAAATAAAAATAAACGACGTCACACATTATGAAATGGACAAAGTCCGAAAACTATTTTTTTATGCTCAAGTCTCACAAGATCTCGACAAGATCTCGCTTTGTGTTATTATTATTATTATTATTATAATTTGATTCCCTTTGATTTCAGGTGTATACTCATTTCTTTCCGGGTCCCGACTAGAGACCTAAGGTCAGAAATGGCATCATGATAATTTCCATTGATCAATTAAAAAAAAAAAAAAACAAAGCACCCCCTCTAAAAATCAAATATTTTACATGGAAAAGGCCCTTCGTAAGGTGTGGGCTGTAATTGGGAGAACAATTAACCAAATGATCGTGATACAAACATTTATCTTAATTTTATTTATGGTAACTGAGTTTGGGGCGATTGTCTTACGCGGTTTCCGTCGTCCGATAATGTGCGTCCGAGAAATGACGCTTTTATCGCGGTTGCCGTGGTTCAGTTGCTAAGATCAAACTAGAGTATCTGATCTTATCTGATTAATCTGATTCTCTCCCTCCACGTGTATCTATCTATCTATCTATCTATCTATCTATCTATCTATCTATCTATCTATCTTTCGTTTTCTTATTGAAACCAAGTTGTATCATCTCCCCTCTTTCCACCTGAACAAAACGTAATAGTCCATTATTTATTAGGTATTGGCCCGGCATAGCGATCGTACGAACGAATATAATAGAATTATTATTATTATTATTATTATTATTATTATTATTCTGTATAAGAGGTATCTACAATCATAATGACAATATTTCATGCAGACTCATTTAATTTGTCCTGTTATTCTTGGTTTTGTAAATTTATTAAATAATGGAATGATGCTTCCATCACATGAAATTACGAATTCACAGAACTTTCTGATTACTTCGTCACTAATATATTTGGTCAAAGGTTTGACAGTATTATCTGTCGTCGCTTCGTTAACATTTACCGAACATAACTGTCCACAATTCCTTTATTGGTTCTTGGGATCATTGCCTTCATTTTGCATATTGGACTTTGCTTACACACACATTCCTAGCCATGATAGGCAGGAAATATTAACTTTGTGTGACGAGTTTAATATTTGCTCTTCCAGCCATTATTATTTATGCATATTTGGGGGTCTGTACTTTTTTTTATTAATGAGACTTTCGTTAACATGACTCCTGGTTCAAATCCTTTAATCAGAGTCAAGTTGGATTAATCATTTTTTTAACTGATTATCAATTAGTTTAGGTTACTTAAGGTCGTGAGAGACAATTACAAAACAAGTCATCGAATATTTTTTATTATCGTATTAATATGAACAAAATGTGTGTATAAAATTAAGGTTCGATTAAAAAAATGTCAGATGGTTTTATAAATTTTTTTTAATAGCTTGTTCTTACCGTAAAATAACAAAGACAGAAGATAGTAATGAGTTATGGCATATAGAACAAATCATTTACCCGCTTAATTTGCAAATTAATAATAATAATAATAAACTCTTTGCCAAAGACGACAATGAGTTGAAAGGCCTCCTCAATATTGTAAAATACTTCAGTGACGACATAGGTATGAACTTCGGATTAGATAAATGTGCAAGAGTAACTTTCAAGAAAGGTAGAATTACAGAAACACCTTTAACAGATTTAGATTTTGTCACAAAATTGGGGAACTGGAGCATAATGAAGCTTATAAGTATCTAGGAATTAGCGAAGGAGATGGCATACAACACTTCCAAATGAAGGAAAAAATAAGAAAAGAGTACTACAGGCGTGTACGTCTGGTACTAAATACTGAGCTAAACTCAGCCATAAACACATTGGCTGTCCCTGTGGTGCAATACAGCTTTAATGTCCTTAACTGGACCATAGCTGAAATTAAGCGAATGGACGCCAAAACGAGAAAGCTTATCACTTGCTATCGCATGCATCATCCCAAAGCTGATGTTGATCGTCTGTATGTGCCCAGATCCGAAGGAGGCAGAGGATTAGTTCAACTAGAACTGTCCCACAAAACTACAACAATTGGCCCCCAAAGATATTTGGAAACTACAGAAGACTGGATGATGGTATGCGTCAAGGAACATGAAAGTAGTAAGCGTCTTTACTCCGCAATGAAAGAAGCCAACAAATTGAAAATGCAGTTTCACATGGGCGTAGAGATGCTACTACAGCACAACACACCGGCTGAAACTGCAAAATACCTAAAAAAGACATCAAAGACGAATGCAACCGACCAGATACAGAAGCGATGGCAAGATAAACCGCTTCATGGCCAATACTCTGCCCGTACCAAACAAGCTGACGTAGACAAAACCCGTACCCATCAGTGGCTACATAGTGCAGGGTTGAAAGCGGAAACTGAATGTTTTATC